TGTATTTACACTGAGTGTCTGCTGTGCCAGTTGAAAGTTCTGAGCTGGATTCTGCTTTGAAGATACCCGAAGGTTCTCCCAGGTTTTTTGGCTCGTCTTAGAATTTCACAACACTTTATGTATCGTGAGAAATTTACAACAGGCTGCACATTATATAACTTCAGCATCAATATCATAATGTTTGATATTTTAACCTTCGGGCCACGCCCCTCAATCAAGTTTGGTTTTTGCCCCTTCATAGGAAAATGTAATGTATTGTTCATATTTAATGTCAGTAAACCCATTCATTTACAATAACTAATGGAATAATAATATTGTAAAATGTTACCCACAAGTGTAACATTAAATAATTAATTTCACTCTTTTTTATACGAGCATGCATAATTTAATGGTCAAGCAAAAAAAATTAATTAATAAAAAACATTTAATTATTATTTTTTTATTAATTTTTAAATTAAATTAAATTAAAATTCAATTAAAATAAATTAAATTTGAACTAAAATCCAAATAAAATTTATTTAATTTATTAAAAAAATCTAATTAAAATAAACTAATATTAACAAATTTAATTAAATTAAAAATTTAATTAAATTAAATCAGTTTAAAAATCAATCAACCAAATTAAATTAAATTAACATTAAATAAAAAATAAAATGTAATTGAAATCTAAATACAAATGTAAATACAATTTATTAAAACTAAATTAATATTAAACAAAATTTAAATAAAATAATATTAATTACAATTAAATCAGTTAAAACAATATAATTAAACAAAAAATGTATAAAATAATTAAATTAAAATTAATTTTAAAATAAAACTAAACAAAAAAAAAATAGAATATAATAAAGCTGCTATAAATTAATTGTATTTCAAAATTTTTGGACATGACATGCCGTCACTGTACTGCATGTACAAATTCTGCACAAAAACAACAGCATATGGACTTTTATACAACATGAGAATGAGAAACAACTCTTTTTTTTTTTTTTTTTTTTTGTGAACTATTAAAGCTTTTATAACCGCACTAAACAATCTGCAACACAGACTCCAGCATCTTGAAAAGTAATACTAAAGTCAGTCCTCCAAGTTTTTCAGCGTATTCATTGCGTAAATATATATTTCAACACTCTCCATTTCGATGAACTATGGCGATTTGTGTTCGCTTTATTGGCTAAATGTGACATGTTGCAGATGTGAAGCACACTAGCAAGCCTCACAATCTCTTATGAGGTGATACCAGAGACCGATGGAGATGTTGCTTAAGGGTGTATGGCGCCAAATGAATAGAGTGATAAACACACACAACAATGTCATCACGGAGATAAATAAGATGAGACTAAACACTTGTGATTTGTTCTTCGAGATCTTTGCTTTTGCGAAATCAGCAATGTTTACCGCTGGCAGAGCGTCTGTTGGTGTTGCTCATTCTTGAAATGGTCACCGGCGTGATTTATTTTCCCCTCTCCATGACCATAAACATTTACTCAACGCCATTAAACAAATCTAAATTCCATTAGGGAGATAAACAGAAATAACTTTGCATTCTCTTAAGCAGGCGCATGAGAAGTTAAACAAAAGAAATGCAACAAAAGGTTCAACCAAACAGCACCATATGCTCAGCGTTTGCCAGTAAAACTCAAATGGCAGGGGTTTGTTTGCTGGTGACAGCAGTTCTGTTTGTATTAAAAGTGCCTACATAAACTAAATCACTAAATAACTAAGAGCGAAATCAGGGGATATATTGTTGAAAGAATGGAGATGTTTTACATGGCGTTGATTTTGTTTTGTTTTTATAAAAGGTATTTATTCAGAATCTATTCAAAGTCATTAGCCCCTTACACACATACAGACCTTTTCGGAAAATTGCCGGAAAATTGCCGGTAAGGTCTGTATGTGTGAACAGGCCCTTTTTGAAAATACCGGTAAATTCGTTCTGGCTATTTTCCGGAAAGTAAAGTCGTAAGATTACCGGTAATTTGCCGGAATGCAGCGCTGTCTGAATGCAGAAGGAAGATTGCCGGAAAGAGCACGTGCACGTCTAGAACGTGCTGACGTGAGACGTCTGCATTAGCCAAGAGGTTACATGTGCTGGTGAAGATTAAAGATGCAGATTAGAGGTTTTCACTGACTGTAGGCTAGGCATGGACCGGTATAAGATTCTGAGGGTGTGATAACCTTGAATAAAATAAATAAATAAATAAATAAGTAAATTAATAAATAATTTAAATAAATGTAAAAGTTTTAGGGTATTGTGATTA